GGGGGGGGGGGGGGGGGGGGGGGGGGGGGGGGGGGGAAGAAAAACCCCCCGACTTTCAAGAACTGCAATATGAGCCACTGCCTATTTTTCCGGAGTTGTTTGGAAGCCTAACCCAATTTATTAGGTGAAAAAGAACATACTCTGTTCATTTTTGATTGTTTCATTATATGGGCTTTACGGAAACGATTTGTGATTTTGGGCTCGAAATGGGGAATGTTGTAGACGGAAAAAGCCAATGTATCGGATATATGTAGTACTTATTTTCTTGCATTTCATGTTGAGATGTTTGTTACTTTTTTTAAAACGGTTTAATAACCCAAATTTGAGGTTTATCTCCTTTACGAAATCACTGCGGTAATTGATACGTCGTTGAAAATCATCGACATTCTACGCCACTCTCTGCTCGCAAACTGAAAATTGTTGTAAAGCATTTACTGCTGTTAAAAAACGTGAGACCTTAATAGAAAGTACGAGAAAATGTACTGAACAGAGTCATAAACGTAAATTTTCGACTTTTATGATGAATCTTAAGCTTTTTTCTGAGCTTTTACAAACTGATGCCTTAATATGCCCTCAGAAGAAGCAATCATCAAAAAATTTGCCAACGAGTGGTTGCTGTTGGCATATACTACCGCAAAATCTACTTCGAGTAAATCTGCACCTCTCACAAAAATATGCATACCAAGAGAGGGAGGAAAATTCCCCGTAGTTAAAACTTGACAAAAAGAATTTTACAACAAAAATTATCACAAACATTTCACAAACTTAACAACAGAAACTCAAAAATATGCGCAGATTTAAAAAAAAACATAGATTTACAAAATACTGAGCAAGCACCGGCCACTGATCAAATTCAGAAAATAAATTTCACAGAATCATCCGCCATGTATCGATGAAATGAACGTAACACTGTCGCCTTCGCTGAGTATCGTCCTTGGACCGTCGGCCAGCTCCCAGTCTCGGTCATTAATGAGTACCAGAATCCCGGGGCTAACATTTTTGCATTCTTTGTCTAGCAATAGGTGCGATCGTGATTTGTCCAACAACATCGATTCCTTGATATAGCGCAACAGATCAGCGATCGATACTGGACCGGATGCTGGCAACGTAACACTGTGCTCTTTCTGCATATCGAACAGTGATTCTGCACCACCATAGAAACCCACTTTGAGATTGAGAACACTCATCCTCGAGCCTGAAATATACTGGAATTAGCCTCGAAATCTTCTCTATATTTTGTCTTTGACAAATGGACCGACGCTGTTTGCAGTCTCGTTCCAAATTCACAAACATATATACGTACATGCAGACACATATACATAGGAGTTCCATGACTGGGCTAGAAAGCTTATAAGCATCTATACAAATAAAAGTTTTGATATTACCAAAATAGAATGCTCCGTTCTCAGATTCTGCTTCAGGAATCGATAAGACTCAGCAAATTCATTTTCCCTGATGATTCAGGAATTAATCGTCTAGTCAGCACATTATTCTCATAGAAAGAGCTTCCTCATAAGTGACAGATAATGACTGTCCGTATCATAGGTTAACTTCCTCTTTCCTTCAGCTCTGACTCTGCTTGTTCTCTGTTTTATTTTCCTTTCGCATATCTGTCTTGCAAATTAGTTACATGACTGCTCAGCACATGGCGCTTAGGAGGAGGCTGTACTGATGATTCCCGCCCACACCTGCATGTAAAGATCGGTCTGTGTCTTTAGCTAAGGGATGAAACATAGTCTGCATCGTAAAATGTCTTCTTATACATGACACTTTAGTCTAATCCCTCGGTTATACATTTACAAACATACACACATACACACAAACATATACACACATACATACATATACACATACATATACATACATACATACATACACACACACGCACAGACACATACATACAAACGCACACATACAGACGCCTACACATACACGAATAAACAAGCGCACATACATATACATACTCACATAAACATGCGGACACGGGTGCATGATAGGTGTCTGTGAGTTACAACACGTTCCCAATGCATACTACACACATACATATGTACACAAATACATATGTATTATCAGGGCAGTACATGCATACATACACACATACATAGGTACACACATACATACACGCACAGACACATATAAATGCACACATACAGACGCCTACACATACACGGAAGAAGAGCTGGACTAGTTTGTGGCAAGAATGAGAGACAACAGATGGACAAAAAAATACTTCTTCAGTCTTAAAAAACGCAGGGAAAGTCGTCAGGGCAGTGGAAAGGCCGGTTTAAAAACGGCTTGATATTTGAATTCAGTGGACGAGAGAAGCTCAAAATGGAGAAGAATGGAGAAATTGCCAGCTGCATTAATGACAATGACAAATCAGTAGACATATTATTGATAATATAAAACAAATCAAAAAATAATCAAATGAAACGACACGCAAGGAACCACACAAACTAGCTGAATACAAAAAACCCAAACTTCCAAAATATGCACGAACCATACCGCTCAGGCGGAGGTAAACGACGGATCGGCCCGACCAATTTTTACTCATTTCACGGAATTTTTTGGGGCCGGTGTTTATCGACTTTTTGGTTTTGGTGGGAGCGATGTCGGTCCCGTTTCTTTAAGTTAGACTGGGTGGGGAGTGAGGTTCTGGAGGAGGGGGT